TGGCAGTAATTTGAGTGAGTATAGTTTTACGCCACTTTTAGCAATATTCCAGCAATATCACGGCAGGGGACAGAAATGGGCTTCACACATTGTGGGATCCATCGAATCCAGTTCTACAGTATGACGAGCAAACACTTTAATCAGTAGGGCAGCCATTTTAACCTGTTTCATACCAATAGTAATTTTCATAATATTTTGCAAAGATGTTACTCACTTCTTAAATTATGCCTCTTGTGGGCCAAAATGGGCTCTGTCAGATCCTTGTCCTTTAACACTTGAAATCTTGCAAAGCTGATCCATATACATACCCCCCCAATAATGGTATGATTGTTGGATGGATTGAGTATGGTTTTACGCTGCTTTTAGCAATCATCCAGCAATATCACGACAGGGGACACCAGAAATGGGCTTCACACATTGTACCTAATTATTGGTGTGAATAGATGTGTGTGATTCTCACTGAGTACAACATACACATCAGTGAGACAATGAAGATATGGAGATACAGTCACGCTAACTAGGCTATTACACAACATGTATGATTGTAATGTCAAGGTAAGGTTATTGTACAAAATGCAATATTGGTCCAAGCACCGTGATGAAAATCTGGGGACGACTTCAACAATCATGACAAAAAATGTTCTTGAGAAATAATGTTTTAAAGTAGCGGTCGACAACAAATAAAAGAATGTGTTATCACCATAGGTTTCTTGAGCCTGTAGGAGATCACAGATGACATCGGCAGATTTGATTTGACTTCATATTAATAAATGTACTGAGTATTCACGGCAGGGCTGCAGTGAAACCCTGAGACTATGAATAGAACTGTACCAAACAGAATCATCTGCATTTAATAACAACTAATTGCTGGAGACCAGGATGCCCTTGTACAAATCGATCTTAGCGCTAAGGTGATCCAAACTTCCATACCTTAACATACACTTATGACTGTTGTAGCGCTAAGGTGATCCAAACTCCCATACCTTAACATACACTTATGACTGTTGTAGCGCTAAGGTGATCCAAACTTCCATACCTTAACATACATTAACGACTGTTGTAGCGCTAAGGTTGTTTTGTACAACACCACCCAGATTGGTGTCCATAACATATATACTGACACACTTTGAAAAAGGATATTCGATTTTTGGTAATATTTGGCAAATTGGCCACAGAAATCAAATTAAGTTGTTCTGTGTATTTAGTCATGAGAAAAACACAACAATGTTGTCTTTGGGTTCAGATCTCATTCAGTGTGTTTCAAGATGGACTTGAGCACAAACTCATATCATGTCTGAGGCATGCTTAAGTTGACTGTGCATTTTCATTGTATAGAACCAGTATGAGTATCGTTTAGAAAGCGTGATCTGAACACAATGAATCCAGGGTCTTGAATAACAGGGTCTTGACTTACAGGGTCTTGACTTACAGGGTCTTGACTTACAGGGTCTTAAGTATCAAGGACTAGACTTACTGGTTGAGAACTGATGAGGTCTTGACTAATGAGATCTCTACTTACAGGGTCTGGACTCACCGGATCTGACAGTGTTTCCCTGTATACCAGCAGATTACACGGAACAACTGACTTCTTTAAACACTGACCTGAAGGTGACTAAGTATTTCTTATTATGCAGGTCCTTGTGGCGAGGAGATGGGGCTTAACAACTCTGTCAGTCCTATCATGTACTGATGGAGACACACACCATACATTTGTTTCTATACACTACAAGGTCAAACCACGACAATCTGGGTGATCTGAACCAAACAAGCCGGTTCTGGCCGGCAAGGGACACAACTCTGTAGAGACAAGTAGGCCACCTGTGCCCACCACTGTTCCCAGTGCAGGGGTTGTCCATGATTCAACAACAGGGACTTGATCCAACCAGGATTCAGTGACAGTGTCACAGCTTGGGGATGGCGACCTCATGGCCTACCATGGATCAGTGACAGTGTCACAGCTTGGGGATGGCGACCTCATGGCCTACCATGGATCAGTTACAGTGTCACAGCTGGGGGATGGCAACATCATGGCCAACCATGGATCAGTGACAGTGTCACAGCTGGGGGATGGCGACATCATGGCCAACCATGGATCAGTGACAGTGTCACAGCTGGGGGATGGCGACATCATGGCCAACCATGGATCAGTGACAGTGTCACAGCTGGGGGATGGCGACATCATGGCCAACCATGGATCAGTGACAGTGTCACAGCTGGGGGATGGCGACATCATGGCCTACCATGGATCAGTTACAGTGTCACAGCTGGGGGATGGCGACATCATGGCCAACCATGGATCAGTGACAGTGTCACAGCTGGGGGATGGCGACATCATGGCCTACCATGGATCAGTGACAGTGTCACAGCTGGGGGATGGTGACATCATGGCCTACCATGGATCAGTGACAGTGTCACAGCTGGGGGATGGCGACATCATGGCCTACCATGGATCAGTGACAGTGTCACAGCTGGGGGATGGTGACATCATGGCCTACCATGGATCAGTGACAGTGTCACAGCTGGGGGATGGTGACATCATGGCCTACCATGGATCAGTGACAGTGTCACAGCTAGGGGATGGTGACATCATGGCCTACCATGGATCAGTGACAGTGTCACAGCTGGGTGATGGTGACATCATGGCCGACCATGGATCAGTTACAGTGTCACAGCTGGGGGATGGTGACATCATGGCCTACCATGGATCAGTGACAGTGTCACAGCTAGGGGATGGTGACATCATGGCCGACCATGGATCAGTTACAGTGTCACAGCTGGGGGATGGCGACATCATGGCCGACCATGGATCAGTGACAGTGTCACAGCTGGGGGATGGTGACATCATGGCCTACCATGGATCAGTGACAGTGTCACAGCTAGGGAATGGTGACATCATGGCCGACCATGGATCAGTGACAGTGTCACAGCTGGGGGATGGCGACATCATGGCCGACCATGGATCAGTGACAGTGTCACAGCTGGGGGATGGTGACATCATGGCCTACCATGGATCAGTGACAGTGTCACAGCTAGGGGATGGTGACATCATGGCCGACCATGGATCAGTTACAGTGTCACAGCTGGGGGATGGCGACATCATGGCCGACCATGGATCAGTGACAGTGTCACAGCTGGGGGATGGTGACATCATGGCCTACCATGGATCAGTGACAGTGTCACAGCTAGGGGATGGTGACATCATGGCCGACCATGGATCAGTGACAGTGTCACAGCTAGGGGATGGTGACATCATGGCCGACCATGGATCAGTTACAGTGTCACAGCTGGGGGATGGCGACATCATGGCCGACCATGGATCAGTGACAGTGTCACAGCTGGGGGATGGTGACATCATGGCCTACCATGGATCAGTGACAGTGTCACAGCTAGGGGATGGTGACATCATGGCCGACCATGGATCAGTGACAGTGTCACAGCTAGGGGATGGTGACATCATGGCCGACCATGGATCAGTGACAGTGTCACAGCTAGGGGATGGTGACATCATGGCCGACCACGGATCAGTTACAGTGTCACAGCTAGGGGATGGTGACATCATGGCCGACCATGGATCAGTTACAGTGTCACAGCTGGGGGATGGCGACATCATGGCCTACCATGGATCAGTGACAGTGTCACAGCTGGGGGATGGCGACATCATGGCCTACCATGGATCAGTGACAGTGTCACAGCTGGGGGATGGTGACATCATGGCCGACCATGGATCAGTGACAGTGTCACAGCTGGGGGATGGTGACATCATGGCCAACCATGGATCAGTTACACTGACAGCTGGTGGATGGCAACGTCATGGCCGACCATGGATCAGTTACAGTGTCACAGCTGGGGGATGGTGAACAGATAAAGACTTGCCTCAAACATGTTACTGATCACTTATAAACAGATCAAGATCAGCCATACTGATGGACCAGAACCAGATCCATGCACCAGAACCAGATTGGAATTCTCTCTTGTTTGACCTGCATATTCCTGATACATGAAACATCACCACTCACAGTTAAGAGCTTACTCATGGGTAGATAGCTTACTCACAAGTAGAGAACACACAGATATGCAATATTGTTCTGTACTATTACAACAGCATACTGCTTGGCAGCCATGGAAGTCAACTGCGTCCTACTTATATAATCTAATGTCAGAAGCCACAGCATCTCTAGTCAAGGGTCTGGCTTGTCTTGTAACGCACAGACAAGAAGCAATACATGAACCCAGGTCAAGTCTGGGCAGGCATGGCCTTCATTCAGTTTGTTTCTTTAGTTGGTCATCAATGAACACAAGAACACAGATTTCAATGTTCCTTAAAGTAAGTCTTATGTAGGACACCACTTTGAATGGTGCGAACTTACGCCCCTCTCGAGGCATCCGGCTTACCGGATTTCTATTGGCATCCAATATCAGAAATCTTGAGTCATATTAGTGTACAAGGACATTAGACTTTCATACATGCTCATAAACTAATTGCTAAATATTTGATAAATTTGTCTCTCTTTGCAAGAAAAAAAGAAGGTGAAAATGAAATATTGGCATCCGTGTACCAGATAAACATTTCCAGCGTACTGCACTGTTTCATCTGGGATACCACTTAACAGGGCTCGGCATCCGGCGTGCCGAAAGGGGTCGGCACCCCCACTTTGGTTCTCATCCAACCGACTGCTACATGTCTCATGATTTAATGTTAGTTGTTTAATATTCCGATAACAGTCTTGTGTTAGTAGTCGCTGAGAAGCCTTCTGTGTATACACACTTCGTAAGTTCAGTGGTTGCACGTAGTTCACATACCGTATTCGATGTAATAAACGCCCAGGGCGCTCTCAAAATTAGAAATAGGGGGCTTTTACTAGAATATTATTTTGGTGAAAAAAACTGAGTTGAAAGATAAATATCGTTATTTATGCTTACATATTTATGTATGACAGATATATTTTTCCATAATTGAAGTACCCCTAATTAAGGGTGCATATAACACATGAGTGCTTATTATACGCGAATAAATAAGTCTTGCGAACATTGATCAATCGGAAGGGGTGCTAATTGGGATTGTTCACTAGCCAATATCTTAGCAAATGTCACCGTGGGCGCTTATTACATCGAATACGGTACCTGCATTTTGTTAATCATAATTAACCAAACTAGAGTAACATGTGATTGTCTTTCCTATTAAATAGGATCTGCGTACAGTTTTAGTACTTGTGATGCATGTTTTGTTTCAATCCTGCATATAATATGCATGATCACCACCCTTGTAGTATTGTTTAAAAGTAAGGGTTGTAACAGTTCCTTGAATGTCACAAGCAGCTGACTTTTGTGTGTTGTCTACATGAACGTAGTGTCGTCGTAGTTGGTCTTGTGCTTGGAGCGGGATTCAAACAGCTCCCTGATGAGGGTGGACTTCTCCTGCTCCAGCTGCGTTATCTTGTCACTCTTCTGGCTCACCTCCTGCAACATGATGGGAGGCAGTCAGTATATTTATAACGCACCAGATTCCTTCCAACAAGTGAATGCTCCTGGCGCTGCACTAATATTACCCTGGTCAATGGATCAGTGTGCATTCGATTTTCATTCTCATCTCCCTGGGGAGTATACAACCCAACCTACATGTGAGTCACTACTAGGTTAACAGTCAGACTACCATCTCATCCTACCGGGTACCCACTCACTACTGGGTGGACAGAGGCATATTTCGAATAAAGTCACTTGCCTAGGTTGACACCACATGTGCTACATGTGCTTTAGTGTACAGGACCAAAGGCCTAGAAACTCAGGAGTCAAGCTGCCGAAGAGATCACCCATCCAACTACTCTCCACAACCAACATGCTTCACTTCTCCTGATTGGTAACCCATGTGCTGCTCACAGGACCATGTGCCGCAGTGGGGACCTGTATGTCTAGAGTACCGCAGTGGGTGCTGCAGGGTACTGGGGACCTGTATGTCTAGAGTGCCGCAGTGGGTGCTGCAGTGGGGACCTGTATGTCTAGAGTGCCGCAGTGGGTGCTGCAGTGGGGACCTGTATGTCTGGAGTGCCGCAGTGGGTGCTGCAGTGGGGACCTGTATGTCTAGAGTGCCGCAGTGGGTGCTGCAGGGCAATGGGGACCTGTATGTCTAGAGTTGCGCAGTGGGTGCTGCAGTGGGGACCTGTATGTCTAGAGTGCCGCAGTGGGTGCTGCAGGGCAATGGGGACCTGTATGTCTAGAGTGCCGCAGTGGGTGCTGCAGTGGGGACCTGTATGTCTAGAGTGCCACAGTGGGTGCTGCAGTGGGGACCTGTATGTCTAGAGTGCCGCAGTGGGTGCTGCAGGGCAATGGGGACCTGTATGTCTAGAGTGCCGCAGTGGGTGCTGCAGTGGGGACCTGTATGTCTAGAGTGCCACAGTGGGTGCTGCAGTGGGGACCTGTATGTCTAGAGTGCCGCAGTGGGTGCTGCAGTGGGGACCTGTATGTCTAGAGTGCCGCAGTGGGTGCTGCAGTGGGGACCTGTATGTCTAGAGTGCCACAGTGGGTGCTGCAGGGTACTGGGGACCTGTATGTCTAGAGTGCCGCAGTGGGTGCAGCAGGGTACTGGGGACCTGTATGTCTAGAATCCCTACTGGGGATTGGGTAATAAGGACCTATATGTCGAGACAGAGTAAAATCAGATGGCAATGAAAAAAACATGATTTGTAGGATGTCTTCCGAATGACAAGAACATGGTGATAAACAAGGACACAGGTGACAGTCACCTTGGTGAGTTGTCTGTTCTGGTCTTTGAGCATCTTCACCGAGCTGTTGTTCATGCGCAGGTTGGCCGTCGGACCCATGGCCAGGTTCATGTGAAGCGGGAAGCCCTGAAACATAAACACCAATTTCAGGGCAACACAAACACCACACACTTCAGGGCAACACAAACACCACACACGTCAGGGCAACACAGACACCACATACTTCAGGGCAACACAGACACCACACACTTCAGGGCAACACAGAAACCACACATTTCAGGGCAACACAGAAACCACACACTTCAGGGCAACACAAACACCACACACTTCAGGGCAACACAAACACCACACACTTCAGGGCAACACAGACACCACACACTTCAGGGCAACACAGACACCACACACCACAGGGCAACACAAACACCACACACTTCAGGGCAACACAGACACCACACACTTCAGGGCAACACAGACACCACACACTTCAGGGCAACACAAACACCACACACTTCAGGGCAACACAGACACCACACACTTCAGGGCAACACAGACACCATAAACTTCAGCGCAACACAAACACCACACACTTCAGGGCAACACAAACACCACACACTTCAGGGCAACACAAACACCACACACTTCAGGGCAACACAGACACCACTCATTTCAGGGCAACACAACACCACACATTTCACAATCAGAAGAATAACTAAAAGTGCTAAAAGAAATGGCACTTAACCACCAGATGACCATAATTCATTTCACTGGTTTTGGCAAAATGTACAAGATGGAGGCCAATGGACCATTGTTTGTGTGGACATATGCATGCTGGGAGTGTGAGATGGTACCTTCTCCGAGCTGTCCGTGAGAGTCCGGAGCTGTTGGTTCACCTCCACGATCCTGGCCTTCTGGAAGTTCATCCGCTCCTGGTGGGCCTCCAGAGAGTGTTCCTGGACAGCACAGCATCAGCGAGTGAGACAAAGTAAACATGGCACAGGAACTACATGTTGTAACAGTTGATGTGAGTGAGTAAGTCAGTGAGTATGATTTTACACCGCTTCTAGCAACATTCCAGCAATATCACAAGAAATAGGCTTCATTCATTGTATCCATGTGGAGTATTGAACCCAGGTCTTCCGCATGATGAGCGAACACTTTAACCACTGGGCTACCCTACTGTTGCATGTTGAGCATGTTGAAGTTAATTAAATATGAAACATGAACAAACTGACATTAGCAGCATTTTTGTTGTTGTTGGAACTAAAGGGTACACCAATCCAAAACACAAGTAAATAAATTGGCGGAGTAAACTTTTCCTTTCTTAATTTAGCATGTTATGCCTTTAATAAACGTATTTCCAAATGTATCAATTACTACAAATTTATCATGATAGACCTATGGTATATGGTTTTGATCAATCATCTCTGTACACAACAAATTGTCAAGACAGACCAGGGTATGTTGAGCCTGATGTTATGCCCACTGCATGGGGACAAAACCGTCACACCTCAAACTTTCCCTTGTACATCAAATGGAGAATGAAAACAACCAATAATTTCATCATAAGCTTTGTAACACAAAAATTTCTAGGTAGAATTTGAATTTAAAAGTTCGAATTAAAATTTAAGATAAAAAGATAAAAAAACAAGTCAAGGAAGCATATCGGCTCCATCTTCAGCTCAGACTTGATCAGATGCTTTTGCCTTGGAGGATCTATCACTCACATTGAACGCGGCCTTGCCGAGGTACTTCTGCTTGTCTTGAATGGCGGAGATCTGTTTGCGGTACCACTCCCGAGCTGTGTCCACTGCCTCCAGTCCCTGCAGGAGCATGTCCCGCTCCTCCTCGAACTGCTTCATCCTCTTGATCTGAACCCACACAAACACTCACATGTAAGCCACACAAACACTCACATGTAACCCACACAAACACTCACATGTAAGCCACACAAACACTCACATGTAAGCCACACAAACACTCACATGTAACCCACACAAACACTCACATGTAACCCTGACAACTAGAGCGGCATGTCCCGCTCCTCTTCGAACTGCTTCATCCTCTTGATCTGAACCCACACAAACACTCACACATACCGTATTCGATGTAATAAGCGCCCAGGGCGCTCTCAAAATTAGAAATAGGGGGCTTTTATTTGAATATTATTTTGGTGAAAAGAAAACAGAGTTGGAAGATCGTAAATTTCGTGGTTTATGCTGACAGCCTGAAATGTTTACAGACGACAGATATATTTTTTGAGAATTTAATTGCCCATAGTTAAGGGTGCATATAACACACGAGTGCGTATTATACACGAATAAAAAAGGCCTGTGTACATTGATCAATCGGAAGGGGGTGCTGATTGGGATTGTTCACTAGCTAATATAGCAGCAAATATCGCCGTGGGCGCTTATTAGAGCGGGGCGCTTATTACGTCGAATACGGTAACCCACACAACTAGAGCATCATGTCCACATGTTACTAGCTGCCTCTAACATGAGTGAGTGCATGTTGTTTTAAACCTCAGTCAGCAATATTCCAGCCATATCACAACACCCTGTACCTAGTCCAGGCCTGGCAGACCATTGGTCAACTGCATGAGTGAGTGAGTGAGTGCATGTTGTTTTAAACCTCAGTCAGCAATATTCCAGCCATATCGCAACACCCTGTACCTAGTCCAGGCCTGGCAGACCATTGGTCGACTGCATGAGTGAGTGAGTGAGTGAGTGCATGTTGTTTTAAACCCCAGTTAGCAATATTCCAGCCATATCACAACACCCTGTATATAACCTAGTCCAGGCCTGGCAGACCATTGGTCGACTGCATGAGTGAGTGAAAGTTGTTTTACAACTCAGTCAGCAATATTCCAGCTATATCGGAACACCCTGTACATAACCTAGTCCAGGCCTGGCAGACCATTGGTCGACAGCATGAGTGAGTGAGTGAGTGAGTGCACGTTGTTTTACACCTTAGTAATATTCATGCCATATCACAGCACCCATGCATATAACCTAGTCCAGGCCCAGCAGACCAGCTGTCATCAGCATGAGCAACAATCCATGCTGTCATGGCACATGACACACAAATATCCACATAACACATTGCACCAACAAGACCATCATTAGTCAGACATGAGTATTTAGGACCTATTCTGTCCTGGAGTGAGTGAGTGAGTGAGTGAGTTGAGTTTAATGCTGCTTTAACAGTATTCCAGATATATCACGGCGTGTCAGCTTAATGTGGGAGGAAAGCCCGAAGTGATGCAGGTCTCAGACGTTTACCACTTCGGTGAAACCCATGAGCACGGGTATGGTGCTGTCAAACCTAGAAACATAATCGGGGCGAACCAGGATTCGAACCCACAATCATAGGTTTCTGGTGTGTCCAAGGGACGCAACCCTGCACAGCGAATTGCGGCGCCTCCGCGACTGGGCCACTCGTGCCCCCTTCTGTCCTGGAACACACCAATGATTATTATTGCAGAAAGATTAATTTAATGAATACCACTTACAGCATTGTAGTCGAGCCCACTGGAGAGTGTGTGTCGTCGAGCCGAGTTCTGCCTGCGCACTGGCTTCTGTGGAGCCTCGGCTGTATTAGATGGAAGGGCGGAGCTTGACTGGACAGAGGGGTGGACGGAGGATTTGCCGGATTCTTCGGCATTTTTTCGTTGAAACTGTTCAATGTTGGCTGAAAGTAGAAAGCATGTGAGTACAAAAGTGAAATACAGACAGACATAGAGCGGTGAGATGACATGGGGTTTAACGTCGCGTTCAAGAATATTTCACTCAGTCACAGTATACCGATTCCGAGCCAACCAGTCCTTGTTTTAGCCTCCCTGGCACTCTGCATTTAGAGTGCCAGGGAGGCTAACAAGTATGATCTTTTAACATCTTTTGGTAAGACGTGGTAGGGGATTGAACCACCAACTTTCCGCTCTCTGGGCACTCTACCACCAGACCACTGTGGCCACATACAAAGAGAGTTTTCCTGGTGTTCGTGTGCTTCTGTAAAAAAACATGGCTGAAAATAATTTGGCACTATACAATAAATGAGGCGGTTTACTCAAGCATTGTATTCCTTCACAGTTCCAAGAGATTCTTTAATCAACGAAAATATGTCATAAACTTCAATAATTTTAGCAATGACATATAAAAAAAGAGAGATTTAGTCTTCGGTCTTTCCATATCACAAGTATCACATATATGGCAGGATAATTCTATTTTTATTCCCAACACAAGATATTCAGAAACAGAATTATTAGCCTCGCTCCCAGGCTGTATTGAAAGATAAGTCCATGGATGTGCAGTAATTCTATCCTCTTAATAGGCAAGTCTAGATAAGTGGACAGTTCTAAGGATACCAGTCTCTTATAGGGACAACTTATTCTTATTATGTATATAATCTAGAAATTATGGTTTAAACTAATAATTATTGCCTTAGTCTACAGAATTCTCTCTCCTACAAGCTTTGAATGAGGATTAACAATCATGTTGCCTCACTTTACACTGTGACATGAAAAGAAGTTAGTACTTCAGCCACATTTTGTCTTTTTATGCATTTGACTGGGAGAAAAAGAAAGACCATCAACGTAATTTAAAATTAAAATTTATTTGACCTCTCACTCTGTAGGGCCTTTAATGAATATAAGACACCAAATTCAAACTCCTTTAAGATCATGACCAGTGATGAGAAACAAGAGAATGTGCTATACTGCTCAAAAGAAGTTAAGGACACTCAATTCTTTCATATGACTGTGGTTAATCTGTCACATATGGTAATATGAAAGAATCACATGATCCTTAACTTATTTTGAGTAGTATATGAAGCCCTATCAGACTTAAAGTAAACTGAAACTCGTCTCTGGGTAAGTTAAACCAAACATAAGACAGGCATTAACAAATGTACAAGAATCACTCCAATGGCAACCCCCAGTCTCAACTAACTTAGGTTCTGCAGTAAGCACTTGCTGGGGCCAGTTCTCATGAGGTGCCTAACGCTTGTAATAGCTGATTAAACAAGCAGAAAGTGTATGTGTTTAAACAGACAATCTCTCCAGCTACAAGTATCGTCCTCTAAAACTACCTCCCCGCCAAAGAGCGGAAACATGATTTGCTCGTTTGAACATCTGCAACACAGATGAGATTCACGCTTAAATGCTCCTCTATTGTGCCTGGGGCCTCCATCACTGATCGGCTGCATGCTCTGCCCATGAGATTCAAAGGATGTGACAAAAACGAGGGAATCTATCTGGTTAATAAAATCATGACACAACGCTTGATAGTGAAGGGTATGGGCATGACACCAGTTTTTGGCTTGATGTCCACATCTTGTGTTTGAAATTAAGCATGAACGTCAAGGGGTTCTTTTCTTACCCTTATGTTAAAAATCAAAGGTTTAGGGGTGCCTCGATTAAAATACCTCAGCAAATAACAAGAACCTATGGACCTCCTTGTTTTCAAACATTGAACTAATTGCAGCCCCGGTGACGTTTCTGCAAAAATACTTATGATACAATAATAATTTATGTATTGTGATATGTACCACAGCACATTGCATGTGTTCTTCCATCTGTAATTTGTTATGAACCTGCATTAAAATAACTCAAACGTCTTGGAAGTTTTTGACTACCTCAGGGTCGGCCATTTTGTTGGATGTGGCTATGGTCACATCGCAGATGTAACAGACACATTATATACAGGAGGCTGGTTGCAAATAGTTTCACTTTTTCAATCACGGGGAATCAGTTCCTAATTTCATAATTTCATCATTTCAGTCACTTACGAAAACTTTGCCAACAAGATTAAAATATGTATGAATTTGACAAACAGAATATACAGGTATTTTCCAAATGTATTGTGATATGTAGTTATTAGTTTTTCAAATTGTGGTATACCAGTATATCTAATTCCGCACACTGTGGACCTTTATGAAGAACAAGATCTATGTCATTTAAGAAACGAGGAAAGCCTGTAGAAAGTAAGATAAAGTGTTCCTACGTGTGAAGGAGAATTATCATGATCATAGTGTTTCACCGTGTTTCTAGTGAATGTTTGCATGTCTTTCAGTAATAGCTGATGTACAGTTTGGTACTAAAGAGCTATATAGCATTATGCTTCCTTATCTTCTGGGATGTTTTAATCAAGTCTGTTCAGGCCAACTACGTTTATCACATGTGTTTGGTTGGTTGGCTTGTTTGTTTGTTGTTTAACGTCGCACTCAGCAATATTCCAGCTATATAATGTCAGTCTGTAAATAATCAAGTCTGGACCAGACAATCCAGTGATTAACATCACGTGAGCATTATCTACTCAACTGGGATACGATGACATGCATCAACCAAGTCAGCGAGCCTGACCACCCGATCCTGTAAGCTGCTTCTTACAACAAGCATGGGTTGCTGAAGACCAGTTTTAAGCCAGATCTTCAGAGGGTTGTCATATTTGTTACAGTGAGAGAAACAATTTTCAGATACAGTTAAAAGATTTAAAAAACAAAGCAAAATAACAAGAATAACTGCAATTTCACTAATACAATGCTGAGTTTTGTTTCATTAACAAGGAAAATCCAGTCCATAGCTAGCATAAGGCTTCACTGGTACTTTATATTTCATTTGTTGTTGGTAAAGTGGTCATGCTGGTACCCCCATTTTCATGACTGTGACGCCCTCAAACATGACTGTGACCCCCTCAAACATGACTGTGACCCCCTCCAAACATGACTGTGACCCCTCCAAACATTACTGAGATTCCCCAAACATGACTGAGATCCCCAAACATGACTGTGATGCCCTCAAACATGACTGTGACCCCTCCAAACATGACCGTGACCCCTCCTCCAAACATGACTGTGACCCCTCCAAACATGATTGAGATCCCCCAAACATGACTAATTCCCCCCCTACGAAAAAAAACAACAAAAAAAACAAACAAAAAATACAAAAAAACATGACTATGACTGACAGTGACCCCTCCAAACATAATGGTGACCGCCCAAACATGACTGTTGTGACCCCCTTAAACATGACTGTGACCCCCCAAACATGACTGTGACCCCCCAGGTGCATCCCTGTGTATCTAAACAACTCTGCAACTTCAGCCTTCATATAACTCTCAACACCAATCATTAAAAGTCAATTAAGTTAACTTAGAAACATCAGCACTCGTGCAAAGCATATAATCAAACTGTGATCAGTTGAAAGTCTTTCAACAGCCAGCTTAACGTCTAAGCTCCCCTAGGACCAGCATGTATATGCAATGTCCAGTTCAAGACTGACCGCCACCTGTCTTATCAAACAGGTCTTACTTCGCACAGTCTGGCATTGTGTCCCTTGTCCGAGCCCTCAAACAATACTGTATTTGTCCAACATGACTAGCAACAAATCCCACATGTCCAGTGGCCGAAATCCCCCCACCCAAAACACTTGGCCCCTGTTGTGTACACGGGAATCAGTTGAAGTTAGTGCTGCCTATAGATTAGGTGCAGGTTGAAAGGGTTCTGTTGATTCTAAGGACTGAATACACGGGTAGACAAATGGTTATCGTGTTTTCAAACTTAACTGTTGAAACAATTTATCAAAATTTAAAGCCTGATCCTGGGGTCAATGGTCGGTCCTGTCAAACTGATCTGTGCGACGGGGCTTCAATTAGACCGTGGATGACCAGCATACAACATCTACAATATGCCCTTGTATCACCGGACTAGTAAACTTGATAATGAATGTTGGACACTATCTCTTGTTTTCTTGAAGTAATTGCTTTGCCATCTTCCCTTGGCATGGGAGTTAACTGACTGTAAAAGTCCAGTTTCCACCTTTGCCGAACAAGGCGGGAATTCTCCAACTTTTTGTATTTTTCCCTACCTCACTTAACATTTTAAGGAAATCAAAAAAATATATTTGAAATTAGAACTTAACTTAACTTAGCTTTATATTTTTTACCTACAAACCTGGATTTAAGGGCCAAAAATCCAAAAATTGGCCTCTTGACTTTACATATAAAATATGAAGCCATCTCCCACAGGTTTTCAAAAGGTGCACAATTCCACGTACCAGATGTTTGTCTAATGTTTAAAACCATGGTTGCCGTTGGAAAATATTTGTATTGAAGGACCTGAATGGGGAACCGATATAGAAACATTTGTTGCTAACATGCAGAGCATCAAGAACCAATTTCAAAACTAAATTGTAAAGAAACATGTGAAATCAAGGAACCAATATTTCTCCCGGAAACGCTGCAGGTGTTGACTGTTTCAGTTAAAAAGGTGGTTGGTGAAATTGGGTTTAATATCGTGTTAAAGATGATTGCACGAACTAGTCTCGACTTAAGGCAGTTTTATGGCACATGGATACTCTACTCAACACATTATACTGACTCCGAGCTGACCAGTCCTTATTTAGGGGATCGAACTACCGACCTTGCAAGTCCGGGCAAACGCTCTATCTTCTGGACCACAGAGGCAGTCTTAAGTTAAAAAACCTAACATACTGTATTATTATGTTTTAATTGTGGTTGAATGTTTAATCAATGTCTTGTCTGTAAACCACCAAGCTCCCATTTATTCAAACTATGATTTTAAATGTTCACTCACTCACTCACTCACTCACTCACTCACTCACTCACTCACTCAAAGAGACGTACATCGTGGTTGGGTGGAGGCCAGGATGAAAATATGATTAATTTATTACAGAC